TTGATTCATAGAACTTTAGAGTGAATTTCAAAAATATGTGAAAACACGAACGTCTAAAAAGTTGTTTGCTCCGTCGTTTGTGATTGGTATCCAACCTGTTTCTTCAAAGTGTTGAAAGATGTAGCGAAATAATTGAAAACAAACATATAGGATCATTTTGGACTTTAACCTGCCATACCCGCCCCCCGCCCCAACTTCCATGACAAAAAGGAAAAAAATTGGGGGCCCCCGTGGAGGAGAGGTCACGTCGCTCACCACTCAGTCAATAGGTACCGGGTTTGATTCCAGACAGAGTTGGAACATTTCCTTCTCTAGATTGTTAATAATAATAATAGATAGCATTTGTATAGCGCATATCCCCGCTCAAAAGCAGGATCTATGCGCTTTACACTATATTATTACCCCAGCAGACCATAGAGCACTCCGAAGCATTCTCAGCTTCCCGGGAAGCATACAGTGCGAGCAGCCGATTAAGCGCTCAAACACTAACAAACTGACAAGATCTTTCGCTGTCTATAGCCGGGTACCCATTCCCACCTGGGTGAAGTGAGGAAAATAAGTGTAAAGTGCCTTTCCCAAGGACACAACGTCGGGCCCCTGACGGGATTCGAACCCACGACCTTACGGTTGCGAGTCCGAGAGCCTAACCACTAGGCCACCGAAGCCACTGTTTATCTCGTTTCACCTCCTTCCCTTCTCTCTGACAATGTTCTTTCGTCTGATTTTGTCTCCACTCTCTGCACCCACTCCTTTGCACCCTCCTCTTGGCCCCTGGCCCTGACTCTTTCTTTAGCCTTTCTACCTCTACTTCTTGGCTCCTTCTTATTGTTGTCTTTCAGCCACACCCCTGATCTTATTATAGGTAAGATCTAACATCTATCTTTCTCGGATAAGGGCAAATAATTTCGGAAGCCCTCTAAGCATGTTGCACATGTTAAAAATCCCTTGTTAGTCCATCATAAATAAGAGTAGGCTTCGGCCGCCACCTGTGCAAAAGTCAAAAGTTCCTACGAACTGAAAATGTTTAATATATCCCGCACCCTCATATTACCTTATGCAATTGCGAGAGTCGATAAACACCCACCATAAAAAAACTAAACAAAACAAAGCTTCCAACCCATCACCCTATTCCTACGCTCAGGAAAACAAAGAACATCCCCTTAAAAAGTAGCGTGAATTTGATAATTTACTTAGGAGAAAACAACAAACAAAGAGAAACAAACAAACGAAATAAAAAATTAATGTTTTTCAAAACTTAAGTCCCCAGTTATTGAAGAGGCTCCCTGTCTGAACACCCAGTCCAAGCTGCTCAACGTGAGTGTGGACATAATCACTGGACAGACTGGCGATCACAAACAGGCTAAGTTGTTAAATGTGAGTGTGGACAACATCACTGGACAGACTGGCGATCAGGGTGACGGTCTGAAGGAGCAAGTAGGTCGGGTGGCCAGCTGGGCCGTACACGTGGACAAACTACTTCAGGACCCAGTCGGCGTTGAAGTCTTTTCGGTAGGTTCATCATTAACTATATCATGTTTACTTATAGTTTGTATTTCTTTTTAAATCCAGAGTTGGACATCCACCCACGCCCCTAAAATGTATTTTAAAAATCATTCAAAAAGAATTAGATCAATACATAGATATATGTAATATCGACAAAAACAAAAACAAAAAAACCAAATACGCAAACCAATAAACTAGCCGGTGAAGAAACTACCTAAGGTTAATACCTTACGCCGTTAGGTTTTTGTTTTGTTTTGTATGGGTTTTTTTAAACTTAAATACTCTTTTATGCACTTTGGTAGAAACATGATCTCTCTATATTTTGCTCCTGAATTTACAAGTTATATAGAGTTTTCCCTCGACTCGTATTATTAACTTTATTACTCTCATCTACATCGATGTTATTTTTCTATTTAGGAATTTTTGAGGAAAGAGTTCAGCGAAGAGAACATCTTGTTTTGGAAGGCGTGTGAGCAGTACCGTCAACTGACAGATGACTCTGAAGTAAGTTTGGAATATTTTTATAGTCGAATTGTGTTGTTTAACTGAATGTTTTTAAGATGTACAGTATTGTTACTAAGACACAGGCTCTAAAAATATTAGTATAGCTATTTTAGAGGCAAATGAAAAGGAAAAAAATACATAACCAACAACTGTACTTAGTAGCAGTACTTTATAAGGTAATAGTTGCTGTTGAAGTTTCTCTCTTGAGACAAAATACGAGTCACTTCCAACTTGGAACTTTTAGACCTCCACCGGAAATACTTATCATAGGAAATGTAACAATAAGATTAAACGAATACAACGGTCTCAATTCGAATCCAAATTTTGAAAGTCAATGAGGCAGATCAATTTATTTTCTTTTTTTTTTATATTGGATATTTTATTTTACCCCCCCCCCCCCCATCCCCGTATTTCAGGCAGCAGGCTTTGACCCTGGGTCAACCAGGCCTGAGAAGGGTGCAATGCCCCAGAAGAAAGCCTGAAATACTCCAAAAGAATTTAATCAACATGACAATGAGAATCAAATTCGAGTCTGCAGCGTGCTGCGGCGGGGTGCTTAATTAACCGTAGCACCACATCGCTATGAAAGTTGTAACGTATTGCACAATCTAATGGTAATAATATCACCATGAACCTTATATGATTATCTTCTAAGGCATTGTATTCATGAGTATTGTTTGTTGTTTCTCATTATAGCGCAACACTCAGGCCTGTGTCATCTATGGCCGCTTTTTGTCCCCCACGGCAGATGATCCTGTGAATGTGGATGATGTAGCCCGTTCTCACACGCGGATGTTTCTGGACAATCCCACAGTCGACATGTTTGATGTGGCTCAGAAGCAGGTATGTATCTTGACACTTAGTGTGGTTGTCAGCAAGATTTGATTTGGAGCATAAGTAGTGAAATAAATTTACTGCTCGTACGATGCCATGGTAATGTGACCATTTTCAAATTTTCATCTCAATAATATTCATATTTGCAAATTAATGTTAATAAGTATAATAATTATAAGTCAGGGCGAAGATGTTAAAAGTAAGTTTTTTGTGGGTTATTTTTTGAGGTAGCGTGGATGGGGGCGAAAATCTTTTAATTCAGTATTAGTCTGGCATCTTTCACTTGCTTCTCATGTGGTTGACTGGTGTTTTGATGCAGCATGCCTCTTCTTCGTATTATTGTTCTCAGATATTCCACTGACAAATGGCAGTTATCGTGCAGACTTACCGTTTACTATAACTCTATAAATGATAGTTTTGGTAAATGCTCAGATCAAGAATTAAGTCATATTTTGTTCCCATTTGTTTTCATATCAAAATCAATGAATGTGCTACTTCACAGATCCACCAACTGATGCGTCGTGACAGTTATGACTGGCGATCACAAACAGAAAAAGTTAATGGAGGAAATGGAGGATAAACCTGGACAGACTGGCGATCAGGGTGACGGTCTGAAGGAGCCAGTAGGTCGGGTGGCCAGCTGGGCCGTACACGTGGACAAACTACTTCAGGACCCAGTCGGCGTTGAAGTCTTTTCGGTAGGTTCATCATTAACTATATCATGTTTACTTTTATTTTATCCTTTTTCAAAATCCACACCCCAATCACTTTAAATAAAGAAAAAAAATACATGCAAAAAAAAAAGAATTAGATCAATACATAGATATATGTAATATCGACAAAAACAAAAACAAAAAAACCAAATACGCAAACCAATAAACTAGCCGGTGAAGAAACTACCTAAGGTTAATACCTTACGCCGTTAGGTTTTTGTTTTGTTTTGTATGTTTTTAAAAAACTTAAATACTCTTTTATGCACTTTGGTAGAAACATGATCTCTCTATATTTTGCTCCTGAATTTACAAGTTATATAGAGTTTTCCCTTGACTCGTATTATTAACTTTATTACTCTCATCTACATCGATGTTATTTTTCTGTTTAGGAATTTTTGAGGAAAGAGTTCAGCGAAGAGAACATCTTGTTTTGGAAGGCCTGTGAGCAGTACCGTCAACTGACAGATAACTCTGAAGTAAGTTTGGAATATTTGTATAGTCGAATTGTGTTGTTTAACTGAATGTTTTTAAGATGTACAGTATTGTTACTAAGACACAGGCTCTAAAAATATTAGTATAGCTATTTTAGAGGCAAATGAAAAGGAAAAAAATACATAACCAACAACTGTACTTAGTAGCAGTACTTTATAAGGTAATAGTTGCTGTTGAAGATTCTCTCTTGAGACAAAATACGAGTCACTTCCAACTTGGAACTTTTAGACCTCCACCGGAAATACTTATCATAGGAAATGTAACAATAAGATTAAACGAATACAGCGGTCTCAATTCGAATCCAAATTTTGAAAGTCAATGAGGCAGATCAATTTATTTTCTTTTTTTTTTATATTGGATATTTTATTTTACCCCC